ATTTATTTAAATTCGAATTTGAACTGAGTTCAAGTTAGCTGATTAAGTAATTAATTGAATTGAGTTAAAGTTTAAAATTTGTTGATTTGTGACTCATCAAATTATATATACAGTTCGAACTCAAGCTTAATTTGAATCAATCGAATTTAACTCGAGTCTTATCAAAATTGATGAGGTAAGCTTGTGTCTAAATTTTTAAACTCAATTAAACTTCAACAGAAACTTGAGTTACTATTGCTATTTCAAGCTTAAACTTGAGTCATGCTTAGTTCGAGCTTGTCTCAACTCATTTGCACCCTTAAACATTTTTGTTAATCTTGTGAGGTCATACTATATCAATAAGTTGCACGTGGCAAAGTCACTTCTAAGGCAATGATTCTGAGTTATACTACATGTCTACATGTACTCTCTATTTCTATTCATTCCTTTTAATTTACTCCCTTGTGTGACAATTGATGATTAGTTATCTTCATTCTGTGGGTCTCAATGAAATATCAATATCAAAATTTTGTGAGATAGAGTAACAGTTGGGAATAGAATTTGGGAGTGAGAGTAGTATTTTCCTTTATATATATATATATATATATATATATATATATATATATATATATATATATATATATATATATATATATATATAGATGCGATTCTATGAGAACTCCCTCCTTATGAGTCCATGAGAACCAATTAATCTCATCTCTTTGATAAATGATTAATTGGGGATTAAAAACACCGGTGTGCATATTAGGCATAATAATGTGTGTATATTAAACATGTCTCTATGTTGCACACAACCCAATATTTACACATTATAATGTCTAATATACACACATATTTTTAATCCCTCCAATTAACCTTATCCGTAATTTTATTTTTTTAATGAATGAGATTAATTTTGATGCACTCATGAAAATGTTGGTTCTCATATTGATCACAATCCAATAATAATATTTTAAAACGTTTCTTGAAGTAAACGCTCTTTAAAAGTAATGGAATATTTTCTCCGGATGCAATAGTCAATTAAATGTGAGCAAAATTTCCTATGAGTGGGGTCAACAAGCGTGTATTTTAGTACAAGAAATTGAATCAAATTAAAAGCGATAAATCCTAGTATTCATCATCTAATTATGTTCATGTTGACCTAATATTATGATTTATGATTCTAGAAACCATAATTCCGTTTTACACTTCAATTCATTTTTATCTAATTAAATTAGGTCTACTTAATATTTCTCATTTTTATATTATGTAAAATGTATCATTAACTCTACAAATCCGAGCAATTTAGTCTTATGAGAATAACTTATTTATATAGTTATGTCTAAAAGACTGAAAGCAGTCTTAGATCTCAAACTCAATACCTTTAGTTAAACTAGAAGAGACTCGCGCCATCTCATCCACACCTCATGAGTTATGCGTGAATTGTATTCAACTTCCTGAAACAATATTCAATGTTTTTTTTTTTTTTTTTAAGGTGTTGAGATTTAGCCTAATTGACCTTATAATTAATCAAGTTTATATTATATTATGTTGCATTGTTAGTAGTTCAAATAAAGATGCTAAAAAATATATGCATAAGATGAGAATCATGAGATTGTAGCCCGGATATTAATGACGATGACCAGAGAGAGTTGTGGCTCATGAATTGTTGATTCAATTAAGGTTTTCATCTTTTATTTTTAATAAAAAACGGTGATTTTAATCTTCAAACTTGAATTCGATCATCTAGGTCCCATTCTTAAATGAAATCAAGACAATCCATATAGCTTCAGTTCTTTCATATACAGTTTGATATAATTATATTAAAAATCTAGTATAATTAATATTTTTCTTGTTATTTTTTTAAAGACTAACCCATTATATTGATAGTTGATTTTGATTTTTGTTGTTGTTGTTGTTGCATGTGGCTAGTATCTAGTATTCTCACCACTGAAATACTGTGATACTAATATGATTTCGACTTGAATTCTACTCACAACGCACAAGAATTAAAGGTTCCATTTGGTAAAATAATTAGCCTATAGACTAATTTTGATTTATTTGACCATTATTAGTTGTTTGATTTGGTTTAAAAATCAATATAAATGTTTGATTAATTAGCTTTTTGTACTCGAAAATGTTAAAATTAAAAAAAAAAAATACTCAAATCAACTTTTTCAATTAGCTTTTTGTGAAAAAGAAATTATAACAAACAACTAATAACTAATTTACCAAACACTTTTCTACAATCAGCTAATGTTATTAACTAGTTATATCCTCTAATTAACCCAATCAGATAACAGCTAACATTCGGCAAATTATGCTGTGCGTGCATAAATGACGTCGTTTTATTAAAAACGTGCGTCTCTCCTTAAAAAAAATTTAGGTTCGATTCCCAGCAACAACATATGAACTAAAATTCCAGAATCGATGAACTATAATTCCATAATCGATGAACTAAAATTCCAGAATCTATGAACTAAAATTTCAGAATCGATGAACTGCAATTCCAGAATCGATGAACTATAATTCCAGAATGAATTAACAACATAATGTTATTGCTGGAAATCGAACCTGATTTTTTTTTTTTAAGGGGAAACGCGCATTTTTAATAAAACGACCTCATTTTTGCATCCGGGTGTATACAGATGCACAACATAACTACTCCTAACATTCATTTATCAAACAGGGCGAAAGAGTGGCCCATTATATTGTTAGGAAATAAAAAGAGGCATGAATAAAGAAGACATGAGGAATAGGCAATGTAGAGTGTAGAGAGATGATGAAGATGGGCAGACATTGGATGGGCATGGGAAGCAAATCTTGAAAACAAAATTGGGTCTCTTCCCCTTTCTTCCCCACCCCAAGCAAGACATGATATGGTAAGCGCACATGATTTCGCACCACCATAAATCGACCGCACTGCTTACATCACTTTGTATCTCTTGGCAGGATTTTGGTGGACCAATCCAACCCTACTACTATATTTTTATTCTTTTTTCAATAGAATAATGAATAATATAATACAACTTATGTCAAACACCTTGTGATCATATACCATGCACCTCTGTACTTTCCTTAAAGGAAGGTCATAGGATCAAATCCCGATAGTAGAATTAGAGAAAGTCTAGAACAGATACATACAATACCTTATAATAGAATCAATAGTATTCAATATACTTAATATCGTTTTTAGTTATAGGAGGGTTGTGGATTTACCACTTTTAGTCCACTTTTGGTTGTTTAATCTAGGGGCATTTTTGTCTTTTCGATTACTTTTGTTGGAAAAAACAACATAAATGACATTGTAAGTGGTTATTTTGTGGTACAAATATATGTGGGGTCTACTTTTGATTTGAGTCGGGTCAAAATGGATTCAGGTTCTTCGTAATGAGATGAAGACATCAATATATTGTATGTTCAAAACAGATAATGTGTGAATGAGAAATTGATTCTCAAAGTAGATCAATTTGAGTTAGAAAATAGAGATGGAAAGACTTGAAACAAGCACTTGTCCCGCATTAATAATAAACTTTTCCCCACTAAAGTTGTAGAAAATTAAAATTCGAAGGACCATAAGTGATTGCTTTCAAAGGAAATGCAAATTTGATGAATTGATGGTATTGTTTTCAAACATATCTTCAGAGAAGGAAATCAATGTGCCGACTATTTGGCGAACTTGGCACAAAGTAAAGACTGGGTACTTGGATCTTCACTGACACTCCGAAGGATCTTGATACCCTCCTCAGACGTGATCAATCAAATCTTGGTAAACATAGTTTAGAATTCGGGTGTTAAATAACTCTAAAGAGACGGGCGTGAACCCTTCGCTCCGCTTACCCCTATCCCCTTTTAGGGGTACCCGTCTTCCCCAGTCCTTGAAAGCCCTCCCGGGGGCCGATCCCTCTTTCTCAACTCAAGTCTGAAGTTCGGACAGACCGGTAAGCTCCCTCTACCCGGAGTAAGCTTATCTTGGTTGGCCTTTCACCCCTAGCCACAAGTCATCCCTAGTTTGGGGGAGGAACTTTAAGGCACCCTTGGGCCTTTTGAAGCGCCAGTAGTTGTAGTTGTGGCCACACCAACCCTTTCGTTCTTATTGCTCCGGAGTAAGCTCTTCCCCCAGCCCATAGTCCAAAAGCAGAGGGCGGCATGGGGAAGGGCCGCTCGACTAGGAACACGTGGATCCATGGAACCTGGCAAATGAATTACTAAATAACTTAGAAAAACGGATATCACTGCTATGGAAGGTTCGATACCCGAAATCCCAGGAGTTAATCCAAAATCACCTACTCGATTGACAGGCATAGCTTTTAAAGCAGAGCTTTTGCCTCGGGGGGGATTCTGTGCTCATATGAGGTGCCTTTACTTGTAGAGTTAGATAATCCCGAGGCTTAGCCTCTCTTTCTCCACCAAAAAGAAAGTGACAAACCAACAATATTCCATTATAAATTAATGTTATAAATGCCATGGGGCTTAGCATATTGGTTTGTCAGGGCTTAGCGTCGTCTGAATTAATGTCACGACTGAAGGCGGTAGTGGGAAACCAGTGAGGAGGTAGTTTTACCGGTGAACTGAATTAATGTCATGACTGAAGGCGGTAGTTTTACCGATAAACTGATTGTGCAACTCGTGATTTACCTCTACAATGACTCTAGGAGTGGGGTCATGTGAATTTAAAATTAGTTCGACATTACAAAACTATGATCACCAAAAGTATAAAATAAAATGTTATAAACGCTATTTATGTTGATGCTTCTATAACTAGAATCAAATACATGATATCTATGGTCATTCAGCCTCTACACCAGTCAAGTTATATTTTAACCTTGACATATATATAATAAATAAACACACGTAAACAATTATATAAATAGTTATTTAAAAAAAAAAACTATTTACTTTGTGATGTATTGATGTCATGGTCCAAAAAATTATAAAGTTAGTCCATTAATTTTCTCTCCTTTTTAAACAAATATTTGAATTACCACATCATGCAACAATAGAGAAGCTCCAACGAACAGTACTACATAGCATAAAAAACAGCATTTATATATATGCTTTAACCTTGTCTCAAATTCTTCCCCAAGCCTTCTTGTGAAGACAACACCCCATGAGTAAAGTTGCTAGTTTTCTTCGCATATATACATGAAAGCCCAACCTTGAAAGAAATATTCTATACTATACTTCTTAGCAGCCCCATGTTGTTTCTGGATATGCAATCTTTTAGTTAACTTTGTATAAACATATTCTTTTATTGTCTCTTTCCCATTGGTTTGCCTTGTAATTCAAAACCAGGATTGGAAAACCGGGGTGGAGATATCTTGGCAAGAAATCTGGTCAGATCTTGCTTTGTGGGTTTGTGGATTTTGGTGGGTCTTGGTTTTCAATACAAAGTTCCTTCTCCATATACCCTCTTCTTCTCATCTCATTATTATAAAGTAGGGGGAAAAAAGAAATAGGAAAAAAGGGGAAAGAACTCACATATATACCCCAACAAAGAAGGAAGGCACCTTTTTTCCATCTTTCCCTTTTTCTGGTTTGGTTATTCTAGCTTTTAAAGCTCTCTTTGGATTCTGGGGATTGAAGAAGAATTTGGAGAAATGGGCATGGCAGCTGCAGATCCACAGTTTCATGTTCTGGCTGTTGATGATAGCCTCCTGGATAGGAAGCTCATTGAGAGGCTCTTCAAAACTTCCTCTTGTCAAGGTCTGATCTTTTCTTGGTTAGATACATTGATGTGAGTGTGGGATTTGATTCCTGGGCTTTGATTGTGGTATTTGCATTGATACTGATTCTGGTTTTTTTTTTTTTTTTTTGGGTGTTTTACATTGCAGTTACTGCAGTTGATTCTGGTAGTAAGGCCTTAGAATTTCTTGGATTACTAGAACATGGCCAGGACTGCCCAACCCAACCTTCTGTTTTACCCAACCACAATCAGGTAAAAATTTCTCTCTTTTTTCATTTTGTCTTGGTTTTAGGAATTCCAGAATTTCTGTAAAATTTCCTTATTGTTTTCTGGGATTTGCAGGAAGTGGAAGTCAATCTTATCATCACAGACTACTGCATGCCTGGGATGACAGGCTATGATTTGCTCAAGAAAATCAAGGTATATTGGTTTGGTTTTGTAATTTCTGGAGGGCCATTCTTATCCACTGATTTTATATTTTGCTTTGTTGAGAAATAGAGAGAGGTTCTATAAATTTCTTTCCTTTCATGGAAAATAAAGCCCATGACAAAAAATTTCCCATCCATACCCAAGCTGTACTGTAGCCAGTAGTATAGCCTCCTCCAAAGTGGGTCCTTTTCTCAGCTTTCAATTTTTGAGATCAGTGGGAATCTGGCAAAAAATCTTGCCCACCTATTTTTGCATAATTAGATGTTGAAAGGGCATGTGCTACTGTCACCTCTAGCACTCACCTCCTTATTGTCTTTATTCTTTACTTTTATTTTGTGCATTGTAATGGCTACATTGATTTTTTTTTTCTTCTTCTTATTTTTCTGGGAATGATATGGGTGTTTGCTTTTTCCCTGACAGGAATCTTCATCTCTGAGAAACATACCAGTTGTCATCATGTCATCTGAGAATGTTCCTTCAAGAATCAATAGGTATGAAGCATGAACAATCTCCAAGTTGGTCTTGGTCAGATTCTTGACTTGGTAACCATAAGGTTACAAGTTCGACTTTCAGTGACCTAAATGCCTTCTAGTTTGAGCTGGTCAGCTATGTACAACCTTAGATTGGTTTAACCAAGTTAGTCTTGGTCAGATTGTTGACTTTATAATCATAAGGTTACAAGTTCGACTTTCAATGACCTAAAGGCCTTCTTGGTTTGAGCTGGTCAGCTATGGACAACCTAGGCTGGTTTACCTGGTCTGAACTGTGTTTTGTTTTTTCCCTTTGTTGAGGATGAATTAATGAGGATGGATCTTGCAAAATTTACAGATGCTTAGAGGAAGGGGCAGAAGAGTTTTTCCTGAAGCCAGTGAGGTTGTCAGATGTGGATAAGCTTAAACCTCATATGATGAAAACCAAGGGCAAAAATCACCAGAAAGCAGGGACTGATGACACCCAAGAACACAAAGAAACATCATCGGAAGAGTCATCATCAGTTGAGTCTGGTGTAACAGATGTTGTTCAATCACAACTGCCACAACTACCATTAGAACAGCCACAATCTGAGACAGAACAGCACCAACCGCCACCCGATAATAACAACAATAATTGTAACAAGAGGAAGACCATGGAAGAAGGCCTTTCACCAGATAGATCAAGAACTAGATACAATGGTCTCACCAATCTCTAACCTAACCACCTGTGCTCTTTCTTTGTTCCTTTTTCAGTCTGAATTTGATTCTGATAAGTGATAATCTTTACCCTTTTTCCTACTTGTTTTAGTTACATAGGTGGATGGTACAAAGGTCCTGAGAATTGTAGAGAAAAAAAGAGAAAAAAAAAAAGATTTGTGACTATATGACTGATCTGTACACATATTATATGATGAAAGAAGTTCATCAAATTTTGTCTTGCTGATCTAATAGGGGCTGAAAAGTTGCCATTGTTATAGCTGAAAGATCAGTCTGACTATTGTAAAGCTTTGGTAGTTGTTAGATAAGGGATTTAATGCAGGAGAGTTAGTAATGTTCTGCATGCATTCTCTTTTTTATTAGTATATATAAGAGAACTTATTTTCTTGGGTATTTGGCTTTGAAAACCTGTAGCTTTTAGTTTTATTAGACCAAAACAGATACATTGACTTTCATTTTTTATTATAAATAGTCATATGTTAAGATTTATGTCATATGGTGTTACATGTATTGTCAAATCAAATCATATGACGCAAACGGGATATGGAACAGTCAGTTGATATGTCGTGAATAACCCGTTAATTATTTTTGAAACATTGTACTTCACCTAACAGGTTCTCGAGATATCGTTCATAACCCGTCAACAAATTGTCAATCTTGAAGGGTTCTTAGTGGGCTATGGACATCCCACTTACATCATGTTGACTCATGTTTATAAACATATAGAACAAATATTATGAGTATAATACAAGATGAGCACAGGTCTAGCCTCTGCGATTCATGTTCAGTTGAGTTACCATGATTTACATCCTCCCAAATGCTCTGTCGGATCGGGATGTGGGGGCCCTTAGGGTTGGGGTTCAGCCTTTGGAAGAAAATGAATGTTATTAAACATAATGCATTGGTTGTCGCCATTAACAACTTAATATAAAGTGATATCATTTGGACTAGGGTCCCCGATATAATTTGCGGTCTAAGAGAGTAAGATGAGTTGTTATACCATGGACTCGGGTCCACATTGTAGGTGGACCATGGTCATAAACGACGTATAAATTGTGTATTTTTAGTATTAGAATTGTGAACTTCTAGAATATAAATTGTGTTTCTAAGTCAAAACACATAACAATTGTAGAAGAGAATTTGTGAATACAATACTGGGTTATCAAATCCTAATATGTTAATATTATGTGACTGCAGTATTTGAAAGGAACTTGTAAATACAAAATAATGTAATCAATTACATATATGTTAACATTGTGTGTTTGTAGTATACAAATTGTAAATTTTTAAAAGGTAAATTGTAAATATTTAGTATGTAAATTGTGAATATTTTGGATCCGAGTCCACAGAATAATTTACCGAGTAAGAGAGAAAATTGAGGAGAGACATCAAATGGGCCACCATACATTCCCCAAGATCCCAAAACCACTGATAGGGCTGGGCTAAACTCTATGGGCAAAATCCGATGCTTGTTCCACTAGACTGGGCCCCCGGCCCAATATGCGCATACCCGGTTTCCCGCTCTTGCTCTTCTTCTTTTCATTTCAAACTCTCTCTCTTTCAGAAGATGCTGATTCTCCCTCTCCATTCACCCAAAAAGCTTTGAATTTCAGCGCCGGAGCCGGAGAAACTGATTCTGTTTCTCTCTCTAGAATTCACTCTGCTTCTCTCTCGGGAATGGCTCCACCTTTCATTTTCCCTCCAAATCTCCAATCTCTGGAGGAGGAAGACGCCGACGGCGGCCGTCTCACTGTCCAAAATCCCACATCGGTGTCGTCTCTTCGCCCTTCTGAACTGGAAGAGTTCGTGAAAGGTCAGTTCCGCTCCTCTCCTTTCCTTCAGATACTCATCAGCTCCTAATTGCGTTCAAATTTCCCTCCATTTTCTCTGCATTCGAATAGGTGTTTCCTTTGACCTAACGGATAAAGAGCTATTCTGCATCGAAGAGCAGGATGTGTTTGACCGCGTCTACTCGCTCGTGAAGGATTTCGCACGTTTGCCTCCCCCGTGTAAGCTCAATTTAGTGGAGTCTCTTAGGTCTAACCTCAGTGTTTTGCTCCCGAATGTGGAATTGTTTTCAAGGGCTTCTCAAAATCGAGATGATAATCGCAGTGATGATGATAGTGAGGAAAGCGATGGCTGTGATAGTTCAGTTAGTGATCGCTTGGCCTCACATCGGAATGCTTTCAAGATTTACACTTTCTTCCTCATTCATATTGTGCTCATTGAGGAGTTTAGTTCAAGTTCAAACAACAATACAAAAGTAAATTTCGCCCCCAGCATTTATTTATTTATTTGCGCCTCTATATTAGTATGCACACTGCATAGTTTGAAAATTTGAATTTCCTTAGTTTTCTTTGCTGATGAATTGGTCATTGTTTGCTGTCAGTAATTGATTCATACATCAATGTTTAGTTTTGCAATTAAAAATTCAAGGAAGAAGCGTCATTCTAATTTTTATTCTTAATGCTGTATCTGCATTTTGATCGTACTATGGCATGGGTGGTTGTTGGCACTGATGTTTGCATGTACTAGTGTATTTCTTTTCTCATGTAATAGAAGTTGGAATTTTAAGTGATTGGTGGATGATGATTTTAGGTGATGGCTAGTGGTCGGAAGAAGCAACTCGCAAGCTCATGGAATTGGGAGCCCCAAAGAGCAAGGATGCTGATTTTGATTGCTAATTCATTAGAGATCAACCTCTCATTGCTCTTTGGATCTTCAGAGCCTGATGAAAATTACTTGTCTTTCATTGTGAAGTAAGTCATAGAATCTTTTATCTTTAAAAAGGTAATTTGCTGTAGCTGTGTATAGGTAGACAGTGATAAAATGGTTATATGAATCTCTGCAGGAATACTTTCTCCATGTATGAGAAGGCTACACTGTTAAAGGATTCAGACACAAAAGGTGCCTTGAGCAGGATAATTGCAACATGTGCAACTAAGTTCCATTTTGCAGCACAGTCATGTGCTTCAATTCTCCATTTAATTCACAAATATGACTATACTGTTTCTCACTTGGCTGATGCTGTTGCTGGGGCTGAAAAGAAGTATGGAGATGGAAGCCTTGCCACTTCTCTTATTAGAGAGATTGGAAGGACAAACCCAAAAGATTATGTGAAAGATACTGTTGGGGCTGAAAATATAGGAAGGTTTCTTGTAGAGCTAGCTGATCAATTGCCTAAGTTAGTTTCAACTAATGTGGGCTTGTTAATCCCACACTTCGGTGGGGAGTCATATAAGATAAGAAATGCTCTTGTTGGAGTGTTAGGGAAATTGGTTGCTAAGGCTTTTAATGATGCTGAAGGTGAAGTGAGTTCAAAATCTATTCGTCTTCGAACGAAGCAGGCAATGCTGGAGATCTTGTTGGAACGTTGTAGGGATGTCTCAGCCTATACTAGGAGTCGGGTTCTTCAAGTTTGGGCTGAACTATGCGAAGAACATTCTGTTTCAATTGGTATGTGGAATGAGGTCGCAGCACTAGCTGCTGGAAGGCTAGAGGATAAGAGTGCAATTGTCCGGAAATCTGCACTTAATTTGCTTATCATAATGCTCCAGCATAACCCTTTTGGTCCCCAACTTCGAACATCCTCTTTCGAAGCCACTTTAAAACAATATAATAAGAAATTGAATGAGCTTGGACCGATGGCTCAATCAGATACTGTTTTAAATGGGTTACCTTCTGACAATGAAGATTGCAATGGGGATGGTGAGATACATGAGGAAGGTGCTGAAAGGATGTCCAAGGAACTGAATGATAGCTTAACTGATAGTTGCTTGTCTCAGATGCAAGATCCTATCCCGCAGGAGGATATTTCTGTGCCAGATGTTGGCAACTTGGAGCAAACAAGGACTTTGGTTGCATCATTAGAAGCAGGGCTTAAATTTTCCAAGTGTGTTTCTGCTACAATGCAAACTCTTGTCCAATTAATGGCTTCATCTTCTGCCACAGATGTGGAGAACACAATTCTTTTGCTAATGAGGTGCAGGCAGTTTCAGATTGATGGCTCAGAAGCATGCCTACGCAAGATGTTGCCACTGGTAATTGCTTATTAGCATCATTAGAGTGAAGATCTTTCTTGTTTTATTGAATTAGGGCGGACCCCGAATCTCAGCCTGGAGGGGTCCCCTCTGAATATCCATTGGGAGTGGTCCCCTCTAATAAGAGCTCAATGCTAATTGCTACCCAGAGGAATTAGGCCTCCCTGCCTAACCTTAATGCTCTTCTGACCAAATTCTGGGCCAAATATGGCATTGTGCAGGTATTTTCACAGGACAAAGCAATTTATGAAGCTGTTGAGAATGCTTTCATAACGATTTACATACAGAAGAATCCCATAGAAACTGCAAAGAATCTCCTGAGTCTTGCTGTAGATTCAAACATTGGAGATCTTGCAGCCCTTGAGCTTGTAATTGGAGCCTTGATATCCAAAGGCGATATAACTTCTAGTATGGTATGTTTGAATTATATATTTGATATTTATTTATTATTTTGATGTAACAAAAAACAAAAACAAATATTTGATCATAGTAACAACTATATGAACTATTTCTAATAGGATCCTTACGCAGATATAGGGTATTTTCATTTTTCCTGAACAATTGAAAAAGTAGTTGGTTGTAGACTTGTAGTTGTTGACCCTGATGAAGAAAGTAAATGGTGTCTAGAAATATGATAATCCTTGTTCAAGTATGTCTGTCTGAATTCTGAAAGATTTTTGAAGATACTGCATTGAATATGATTGTTGTAAAATAATTAAATATCTCCTATATGTTGAAGGATTTCTGTAAAGAATTGATTGATCTGCATAACTTATACCTCCCTGAACACATCTGTAACTAATTCTTGTAGCAATTTGGATGGACTTCTCTGATTTTCCTCTTTTGCTGAAATCTTCGAGGAAAGACTTTGAAATAATTTATCTGTCTTGCAGTTATCAGCACTGTGGGATTTCTTTTGTTTCAATTTCAGTGGAACAACAGCCGAACAAAGTCGCGGTGCATTGTCTGTCTTGTGCATGGCAGCAAAAAGGTCAACTATGGTTTTTAGCTCTCACCTTCCAGATATTATTGACATTGGGTTTGGTCGCTGGGCAAAGGTTGAACCCTTACTTGCAAGGACAGCATGCACTGCATTGCAAAGGCTGTCTGAAGAAGATAGAAAAAAATTGTTGTCTGCTAATGGAAGTCGAGTATTTAGTATTTTAGAAAGTTTAGTTACGGGATATTGGCTTTCTGAAAGTATATGGTATGCAACTGCTGATAAAGCAATAGCTACTATATATACTATTCATCCCTCTCCTGAAAATGTAGCTGTTAGCCTGGTGAGAAGATCTCTTAGTTCTGTATTTGATTGTTGTGGGGGAGATGAGATACAAAATGATATAGAGAATGGAAGCACTAATATGCTTGCCTCAGTTAATGTTACAAAACTTAGTAGATATCTATTTATTGTAAGCCATGTAGCTATGAACCAATTGGTTTACATTGAATCACGAGTTCGGAAGATTCAGAAAGAGAAAGCAAAGAGAGAGAGAATCGTTTCTGAACAGAATGCTGATGCTAATAATACCACTCCTGATGCTCAGAAGGTGATCAGCATTTCACACTTGCACTATGTGGAGTAACTATTTTGTGAGGAACTGCACAGTTTGTTTGAATTTAGATAATTTGTTGTTCTGAATTTTTTCTACTGACAAATTGTAGGATAAAGGTATCAATGCTGAGCTAGGTGTGGCAGCTTCTGAAGATGCTTTACTGGATTCACTCTCTGATAAAGCAGAAAAAGAAATTGTTTCTGGTGGCTCTGCTGGGAAAAACTTGATTGGTCATTGTGCACCTTTTCTTTCAAAATTATGTAGGAACTATGCTTTGATGCAAAAGGTAATTGCATTCTTTTTGCATGAGTGTGCAAATCTTTGAGATACTACGCAAAAAATCAGTAATAAAATGGACTTAATTTGTATAAGCATAGTTATTGCATCCAAAAGTCTAAAGTTCAATGTCTGTACTCTATTTGAAGAATGTCTTATGGACTGATGGTTTATTCATGTTTTAATAGTTTTTGGATACAAAATCTTTTCCATATACTGATTTGGCTCCTCAATCTTTCAGTATCCTGAACTACAAGCATCCGGAATGCTTTCATTATGTCGATTTATGATAATTGATGCTGACTTCTGGTTAGTTGGCTCTTTGCCTCTATGCTTTTATCTTGGTGGTTATAGCAAAATAGTCTGAATTCATGATTCTCTACAGTGATGCAAATCTCCAACTTCTCTTCACTGTTGTGGAGAATGCCCCATCAGAGACTGTTCGATCAAATTGCACAGTTGCCCTTGGAGATTTGGCAGTTCGTTTTCCTAACTTATTAGAGCCATGGACTGAGCACATGTATGCACGTCTAAGAGATCCATCAGTTTCTGTCAGGAAGAATGCTGTACTGGTTCTGTCTCACCTCATTTTAAATGACATGATGAAGGTTAGGGGGGGTAACTTACAGTTACCATTCAATGTGCCAAGTGCCCATTGTCTTTAATCCTTTTGCAGCTTATGTTAGCATTTTTTATTTTATCTATTGCGTGCAGGTAAAAGGTTATATAAATGAAATGACAATCTGTTTAGAAGATGAAGATGAACGAATATCAAGCCTGGCAAAACTGTTCTTCAATGAGTTGTCAAAAAAGGGTAATATTTCATATCCATCTGTTCTTTGTTGATGAATTTCTTTGGCAGTTTTAATCTATAAGTGAGCACAGGTCATGTAGAAGCAACCCATTTGGTTTCTGTTTCAGGGAGCAATCCAATTTATAACCTACTTCCAGATATCCTGGGCAAGTTATCTACACAGAACCTGAAGCAAGAATCATTTTACAACATAATGCAGTTTTTAATTGGTTCAATAAAGAAGGTATCATTGGTTTACTTGATATGCTGTCAAGCTGTGCTTTAGGATCCACTGACTTGTATATTTTGAATTTTTAGGACAAACAGATGGAAGCGCTTGTTGAGAAGCTTTGCAATAGATTTAGTGGAGTTACAGGTATGACGTTTTTTAATTGCTTATGATTATTGTTTCAGAATCAATTTTTCACTACACTGTTTCAACAGTGTACTAAATCATCTAATCAGGATAACATTATTTATCTCTTTTCTTGCTACAGATGTTAGGCAATGGGAATATATTTCATATTGCGTCTCTCAGTTAACGTTCAATGAGAAGAGCATAAGAAAGCTGATAGAGTCATTTAAGACATATGAACATGCCTTATCTCAGGACACTGTGATGGATCATTTCCGAAATATTATAAGCAAGGTACTTTTTGTTGCTTGGCATCACCACATTTTTTTTTTTTTTTTTTTCTGGAGATTTATTTCAACATAGTATTTCTGACTCCTCCTGTTTGAATAATTCTTCAATCATCAGGGGAAGAAGTTTTCTAAGCCAGAACTCAAGTCATGCATTGAAGAGTTTGAAGAAAAGATCAACAAATTCCACATTGAACAGAAAGAGCAGGAAGTTACTGCAAAGAATGCTCAAAATCATCAACAAAAACTGGCAAGCCTTATGGTGAGCAAGAAAGAGGTAGAGGAAAGCAGTGAATCTGAAGTTACTGAAGGTAAAAGTATGTTAGTTATAGTGGGAAAAGTATAAATACCCAGTACATAATACTCACAATTTAAAGTGTTTGAACCAATTAGATGGCATAAATGTTTATATAAGCAGTAACTTAAATTTTGTGAAGGTGGAACAGAGAGTGAACTCACTGATATGTCAACTGAAGGAACAACCGAAATCACACATTCGAAGACAAGATTTCCCGAGTCAAAAACACATTCTCATGCTTCCAGCGAGGTGACAGATTCAGAATTGGATGAGGGTGAAGTTCAATCACCTCTTGTTCATCCAACAAGAGGTACTACCTGCTCTTCTTCTGTCTTTTTCTTCTATGTCTTGATGTCTTGATACTATTTTATGGATTCAATTTTGATTCCCATGTCACCATTTGCAGCTGCCACTAGATCAAGAGCCAAGAAAACCAACAAAGTTGACCAAGGCGTTGATACTCGCACTTCCACTAGAAGAACTACCCGGTCCAGTAGAAGGTAACTTCCTAATTTTACACTAGTGGTTGAGACTTGAGAGTCACATACTTGTTCACAACTCAACCTTTTGACAACCTATTCTATTCTTGTATGGTTTATGTTCAAATTTTGGTTTGTGATTATGCAGCAGGTAGATTAAGGCACGTGATTTCCTTTTGGTTGTACGGCAGAATGACAGGGAGCCACTGATGAAAATTATGTTTGTTTGTAAATTGCGTCTGTAATTGATACAATCCTCACTCTAGTGTTAGTTTCTCCACTGGAGAAATGTCGCTTATGACATATACTTGTGTATTTTCTGAATTTCAGTTTTTGTAAGCTTATAAAAGCAATTAATACTTGACAGTCATTTCCTTAATTGCTCTTACCATCGCTTGAATTTTAACATTCATCTTGTTCTACGTTATAATATAACTTTTAAACTATAGAAATACTCTTGTGAGAGGTCACAAGTTCAAACACCAGTGGAGACATTAACTATTTGTGTTTCAATAGGTTGAGAAGGTATATATGGACAGGTATTACATTGTAACATAGTTATGAATTACAAAAATATTAAATAATTAATTTTTAAACATTTAGACTATTCCTGCTTAAATAATAAATATTGTCATGGAGTTTTATTGTTCACCTAATTTAATTCACTTTTTGGGTCATTTTTAAGGGTTGTATTTTTTATTTTTCACAAATCTTTAGAGTACCAAGGAATAGAAGAATCTTTTAACTAGAAATCAGAAAGAGTTTAATATAGGCATTAGATGATTTATAAGCATTTGTCCACAGTTACCAATTCCATATCCATAGATGATAATAGTGAATTCCAGATTTCCAGTAGTGCACATCACCTGCACCACAAAAAAGGGCACAAAACAGGGCAGGAGAATTGCTTAACACTACACTCTTTGGCTTCATAAAATCTGGTCTCCAATGAGTTAGAAAAGTATGGCAATTCAGTGAAACTTCTTAGAGTCTCCGAAAGGCAAGCCATAATGTTTAGCCAACTGATTAGCATTTCCATTAGGACCATTACCACTCACGCTTTCTAACAGCTTATACTTCTTGTGGTTTGCCTTCAAGGCCAATTCCTGCTTCTTCGCGAGCTTTTCTTCCTCTTCCAGTTGATGCTATTCACAGAAATGAAAATTCAGAGTATATGAGCGAGTGATAGTGAATCAACATATATGTATGTGTGTGTGTGTGTGTATACTATACCTTCATTAGAAAGTCGGCCTCAGCAGCATGTTTGCGCACAAGAGCCGTCATCTTCTTTGCCACCTCAAAATCGGGGTCATTAGGCTCCACCCAACGCCATTCCATCTTTCTACCAGGTTTGCGAGGACGATCATCAAACATCTCAATCTCTGCAGCACGTGCCCTGACTGGCCTTGGCATCCCTGAGATCATAAACGGGGATTCGCTCACCTCATAGATTATGTTTCCAGCCTGATTTGGAGTCCGCATCTCCACCAAAGCTGCACGTGCAGTGTTGATGGGCTCAACGTAGTTGGGAATCAGATAAACACTTGTGACATCCCCGAATTGGTTAAAAGCAGCCTTCAGGACAGATTCAGTAGCCAATGGAGAAAGGTTATCAATCAACACAGTGCGCTTTACTTTCTCTTCAAAGGCAGCATACTCTTCGTTTGTAGGTTCCATTTTCCCCTGAACAAAAATCCCAGAATCTGCAGGTTTCCAAAATAAACATTAATACAATCATACAAATACACTAAATAGCTCCATTCTCTATTCCCCTGATATGCAACAGAACAACCCCATAATCACCATCTTGTTTTCTTGGAAATGTTCAAAATAGAGACTTTGTTTTTGGATACAAGGGAAGAACAAATAGAAACTTCCACTACAATATAGAGAGAGACAAAATCTTGCTTTATGGGCAACAAAATAGAAAAATGTAGAACCCTGTATTGACTAACAGACTGAGAGGGCACATTTTGTATTGCCAAAATACTCAATTAACCCTGCATTGGGTTATGTTCAAATTACACAAAAATCATTAATTTCTTTTCTTTCTTCTTTTGCATAAGCTCACAATCAAGAATTCCAGGGCTAAAATACCAAGAAATATTTGATTAACACATATACAAATGGCTGAATGATAAAGGGATCAGTTAATCATATGACAGGGACGACATAAAAAGAAGTCCACTTTGCAAGAAGAAACGTAAACCCCACCCCAACCCACACCCACAAACTCCTTCCAGTAGAGCCATTCTCACAGTTTAAAAGAGAAAACAAAAATTTCAAGCAACCCATCCTGAGAAATCAACACCCATAATCTCAAAAAGGCTAACTTATTTCTCATATTCAAGGCTACTAAACCCTATATGATATACCCATTTTTGGCAAGAACCCACCACTCCATTTTATTACCTTTACACAGAGTCACAAACTTTAGAGATCAGAGTTAGTGCATGGTGAGAATCCAGTGAAAGTCACACATAATATGTAGGATTATGAAATGGGGTGTGAGAAAATCGCAATGTGAAGCTAATAACGACGTGATCATGAAAAAGAAGTAAACTTGTATGCATATTTAGGCGTAGAGATAAGAAGAGAAAAGCCCATAATCACAAGAACAAAGATGGAGTTCGGACATTTTACCTTCAGACAATTCTCTTTCGTTCTTCACTGCTCGTCTCTCTCCCTTCCGCTTCACGTGACTCGGTGACTGCTATTCCCTTGCTTGCTGACTTGCTTCTTATAATTTTCTTTCGGGTCTTTTTATTTGAACTATTTTATTTTATTTTATTTTTCATATAAAATGCATTCCTAAATACATACTCCATCCTACGCATTTTATGTATCTGGTTCGGTTAAAGAGACTTTACTGAAATTATTTTTATTTAATTTATTATAATATTAAATTTAGTATTAGTATACAAAATTTATATATTTAGAAACTACATTAAGAGTACTATTAAACACACAAAAAAAATTAAATTTAAAAATAAATAAAAAATACTATAAAAAATAAACAAAGAAGAAATAGTTGGTTTAACTGATGAATAATGAGTATGACAGATAAAATGAGACGAGTATTATGTAGCGTTACCTATAAATATAAAAATACTTTTTTAAAAAAAATAGTAGTTGCTCGCCAATTTATTGCACGTAGCTAGTACGTGTACAACACACAATTCACCACTTTTATTATTATTTTTTTTCTTTATTTAAAATTCAATTACATATATAAAAAGGCTAATATTGTCACATTCAACTTCTTCCAAATATAGAGGAAGGCAATGTAGGGAGGGTCAAAGACTGAAATGTGAATAAAATTTGTTTTGTTGATAAAAATGGAAAGATTTTGAAACTTGGTCTGAAATGGGAAATGAGCATTTGTGACATGCGTTTGATGTCAGAAACGCATGTCCCATATGCGTTTGATGTCAGAAACGCATGTCACATATGCGTTTGTTATTTTTATTTTTTTTTTCGAACGTTGACCACAGACGCAAGTGGGAAATGCGTTTCTCGCAGAATACGAGAAACATATTTCTAACTTGCGTCTCTCCAGAGACATCGTCGAAATCACTGGCGAATTCAACCTTGTTCGCGAAGCATCTCTACTTGTGAAGCTGGTGGTGCGTTTCCTCCTTCGGCGAAGACTCATCCAGAAATCAGAACTGATCAACGAAGTCGTGCATTGCAAAAGGGGAGAGGAAGCCCGGGAGAAACATTGGTAATGGTGGGTGGGTGGGGGGGGGGGGGAGAATGAATGAAATTGAAAGGCGTTATTGGGAATCGTGATTCTCAGGGACGCCTGGTAAAACGAGCCTAAACTTGGGGAAGGAGGAGAAGACGTCGAAGTTGCAGAAGCAGAAAGTCCTAAAGGGGATTTTGGACCAGATTTTAAGAAAGTTGGGGTGAGGGGGAAGAAAGAGAGGGGGAGTTGGTCATGCTAAAATGGGAATTTTGCAGGTGAGTGGGTCCCACCAATGGAGGAGGAGAGTTGCGCCTCACGCACGTGAGGCGCAACTCTCACGCCCAGGCGGTGCACGCTTTCTTCTTCTTTTTTTTTTTTTTTTTTTTTTTTTTTTCCCCTCCCATTTTCTCTTTCCTAATCACACCGGTAAAATCTTCACACTATTGAGGATGCCCTAAGCGAGCCAGAGGAGGACAATGTCCGGGCCGTGTGCTAATTTGATAACATCCTTGTCCCCATGCTCCCGAATCAGAATATAACCCAAGATTTTCGAGGCATATATTATGCGGATCAAAGGACTGAATCCTGGAAAGAACTTTATTTGTTGCTTCTATGGTTTCCATGGCGGACTGAGTGAGTTATTAGAAGGAAACGAAGAAACACAATGGCCGGTGGTGAGGGACGCATGTTGGAAATGCGTTTCTGGTATTGTACGAGAAACGCATTTCCCACTTGCGTTTGTGGTCAATGTTGAAAAAAAAAATCAAAAATAACAAACGCACCTGAGACATTCATTTCTGACATCAAAAACATGTCCCAAACGCTCATTTCCTATTTTAGTCCAAATTTCAAAATCTTCTCATTTTTATCAACAAAACAAATTTTATTCCCATTTCAGTCTTTGACACTAATACTGCACAACACCTGCACCAAATAGTAATTAAATGTTTAAGAATTCATAAGATACACTAATGCTGCAAAACACCTGCACCAAATAGTAATTAAATGTTTAAGAATTCATAAGATACACTAATACTGCACAACACCTGCACCAAATAGTAATTAAAAAACAATTAAGACGGTAAAATTTCTGATGAATATATACTACTGTACACTGTACAATGGCATGCATATATATATATATATATAATATATATAGACTCAATACTCACATTCTCACAATATGACATACTTTTATTCTATAGCTTCTTCATCAATATAATTGCTCTCCATGCATGCCAATGAGCTTAGAAAAGAAAGGAAATTCACTGAAACTTCTTTGAATCCCCAGAACGTACGCAACCCATAATGCATGTTTAGCCAACCGATCAGATCAGATCAGAGTTTTCATCTTCTTTGCCAGGCCACTTCAAACTCGGGCTCGTTAGGGGCCACGCACCCAACGCCATTCTATCTTTCTTCCAGTTTTTGTATAGTAGGACGATATGATCATCAAACATCTCCATAAATGGGGAATTGCTCACCTCATGGATCACTTTTTCCGCCTGTTTTGATGTTCAATTCGCATCTGCACCAAAGCTGCAGTGTTGTTGGGAATTGAAGGAAGTATATGAAGATGATGAGTGAGGACTGAGGTGACATCTATATATCTATCCCCAAATTGATTTCAAGACACCCTCCATCCGTAGCCAAAGGATTTCTGAAGCGCTTTACTTTCTCTTCAATTGCAGGATCCATTTTTCCCTGAATAAAAATCTCAGAATCTGCAAAAAGGGAAACAATTATCATCAATTACACTACCACACTTAAATAAGCAATCTTAGCTTTAACAACTAAATATGCAAATATGATAAATGCTATAAAATCAACGAAAAAGCTATGTTTTAAAAAAAAAAAAAAAAAAAAAAAAAGTAAAGAAGCTAATTCATTAATCATAGGCTTTACAATAACTATCCATGGAATGGTCAAACATTTCTTATAGGGAGACATAGAATCATAATCAGATGCGAATCACCCTTAACCTGAAGGTTTTGCATGCAACAGATTCAGGTAAGGTTTACTTGCTTAAGAAAGCCTTGTATGGCCTAAAACAGGCTCCAAAGGCCTGGTATAGCAGAATTGATGAAGAATTGTGGAACATGGGGTTCAACAAGAGCAAGAGTGAATCAACCTTGTATATTAAAGTTGTTGATGATGATCTGATTGTTATTTCACTATATGTTGATGACTTGTTTGTGACAGGAAACAATGTGAAGCTAATCAATGAATTTAAGACTCAAATGATGCAAGCTTTTGAAATGACAGATCTAGGATAAATGAATGTTTTTCTAGGCGTGGAGGTTCAACAAACTCAAAATGGAATTTATATTGGACAACAAAAATATGCTAGGGAGGTGTTGAAGAAATTCCATATGGAAAGCTGCAAGTCAGAAAGTACTCTTCTTTCTCAAAATGCAAAATTTAGCAAAAATGATGGTGCTGAGAAAGTTGATGAGACCACATATAGGAGTATTATTGGATGCCTTATGTTCTTGACAGCAACAAGGCCTGATATAATATTTCCTGTAAGTTTATTATCAAGATTTATGCATTGTGCTAGTGAGTTGCATTATACAGCAGCAAAGAGGATTCTTAGGTATATAAAGGGAACTCTAGACTATGGTTTGAAGTTTGAAAAAACAAAGAAGTTGTTTCTTCATGGTTATTCTGATAGTGATTGGGCAGGTTCATATGAGAAGTACATCCGAATATTTTTTTAGTTTTGGATCCGGTTGTTTTAGTTGGAGTTCAACAAAGCAGGACGTCGTGGCACAATCAACAGCTGAAGCTGAGTATGTTGCAGCAACTTTAGCTTTTTAATTAATCTCTTTGGTTAAGGAAGTTAATGTCTGATCTAAAGATGACCCGAGAGGAAGCAACAACAATTTTTGTGGACAACCAGCAACCATAGAAATTTCAAGAAATCCAGTCTTTCATGGCAAGACTAAACACTTCAAAGTTAAGCTTTATTTTGTTAGAGAAGTTCAAAAAGCAAATGAAGTTAACTTGGTTCACTGCAGTACTGGCGTTCAACTAGCTGATATTCTGACAAAGGGATTGCCAAGATCAAGATTTGAAGTCTGACAAAGGGATTGCCAAGATCAAGATTTGAAGTGTTGAGAGAGAAGATGAGAGTTTGCAGCAAAAATAGCGAGGAGTGATAGAAATGCTATATTTACTGCATATTAGTTTTATTTTGAATTAGTCTTTCATTATCTTTTTTAATTCTAAGTTGTTGAGATATTTTAGAGTTGTTTGTTGAGTTATTTTCTCTGTTAATTGTGTATAAATTAGCAGAGATAGAATGGAATAAATATATTCATTTTCCCCAGCAAAACTTGAGTGTTTACCACTAAATATCCAACACTCTTCAATTGCAGGATCCATCTTTCCCTGCATCTGCAAAAAGGGAAATAATTATCATCAATTACACTATCACACTTAAATAAGCAATCTTTAACAACTAAATATGCAAATATGATAAATGCAACCTCTCAAAGTGAGGGGGGCTCCTTGTGCGCAGTTAGCACCGGTCTAGCCTCTGTGGTTCATGTTCAGTTGAGTCACCATGATTTACATCATCCCAAATGCTCTGTCGGGCCGGGGTGTGGGGGGCCCTTAGGGTTGGGGTTCAACCTTTTGGAAGAATGATAAATGCTATAAAATCAATGAAAAAGCTATGTTTTTTTTTTTAAAAAAAATAAAGGTCCTGTTTGGTAAAATGGTTGTTAGCTGATTGTGTTAATTAGAGAGTATAAATAGTTGATAACATTAGCTGATTGTAGAAAAGTGTTTGGTAAATTAGCTGTTTGCTGATAGCTGTTTGGTATAATTTCTTTTCTCAAAAAGTTAATTAAAAAAGTTGCTAGGAGTAGCTTTTTTAATTTTAGCCTTTTGGAGTTGCAAAAAGCTAATTAACCAAACATTTATATTGATATTTTAACTAAATCAAACAATTAATAGTGATCAAATAAGCTAAAATTGGCCTATAGGCCAATTTTTTACCAAACAGGGCCAAAATAAAGAAGCTAATTCATAAATCATAGGCTTTACAATAACTAGAATGGTCAAACATTTCTTATAGGGAGACACATAATCATAATAAGATGCGAATCACCCTTAACCTAGGAACCTGCAAACTAAAGGATTGCACCGCAACGACTACCACATGCCTGGATGAACTTTGCAGTATCCGGTGCAGTGCAATCATTCAGTCATTCACAGGTTCGCACGTTAAGGTCAGTTCGCACCTGATTATGGACAGTATATATATATATATATATATATATATACCTTCATTAAACAGTGAGCCTGAGCAGCATGTTTGCGCACCAGAGCCTTCATCTTCTTTGTCTCCTCAAACTCAGGCTCATCATCAGGGGCCACCCAACGCCATTGTATCCTTCTTCCAGGTTTTGCAGGACGATGATCAAACATCTCTGCTTGTGCAGCACGTGCCCTGACTGGCCTTGGCATCCCTAAGGTCATAAATGGGGAATTGCTGACCTCATGGATCACTTTTTCTGCCTGGTTTGATGTTCTCATCTGCACCAAAGCTGCACATGCAGTGTTGTTGGGGAGTATATGAAGATTGGTGACATCCCCAAATTGATTAAAAGCTGCTCTCAGGACAGCCTCAGTAGCCAAAGGAGAAAGGTTATCAATCAGCACACTGCGCTTTACTTTCTCTTCAAAGGCAGCATACTCTTCTATTGCAGGATGCCAGGATCCATTTTTCCCTGGCATGAATAAAAATCCCAGAATCCGCAAAAAGCGTAATATAATAAGACAAAATCTTCACAAGTATATTCTTATAAATAGAGATTTATTATTATTATTATTATTAAATATCCAAAATTCGGGTTAGTTTGGATCAACTTTGAGTTTTGAAGTTTTAAAATTATTTTTTGTTTGAAACAAAAGTATTCAAATTCATTATGTGGCTCAATCTTATGACTGCCTATTAATAATAGTAATAAAGGTGCCATCAAAGTATATAATACTTCATAGTAGCAAGTTTTAAAATAATTTAATTATTGGTACCAATAATTAAGTATTAGAATTTTAAAATTAATATAATATTAATTATGAAATACAATTAATAGTCAATATATAATGTATATTTTTTTTATATTTAATTATAATAAAATATCATATTAGTTCGAGTATGGATAAATTTTAAATACTCGATATTTAAATTCAGATATACCATAATTAAAATATCTAAACTAATACCTATTTGGGTTCACCCAGAATTCAAAATCCGATTCCAAATTTATGTGGTAGTTTGGATAATTCGAATAATGCCACCCCTAAGAGGCTAAGATTATGAGGAATGACACTGAGAGATACGTTGACAAAACAGTGATTATTGTGATTGTTTTTTAAATCCATCTTTTTTTCTTTTTAAAGATCTAGACGTTGTTTCCTTCACCTCTTTCTAGATCTGGAGGAAGATGACGTTTTTGATCACCTTCTTCCGGATATAGACGAAGATTAGGGGTGTCAAATTGGGCCGAAGCCTCGTACTCGCCCCACGGTGGGGTGGATTAAGGCTGTAGAAAAGTTGGCCTGCAAAAATGCGGGCCTAACGAGCCTGACCCGCTGTGACACGCAACCCGCATGGGCCAAACTCTTTTTTTTTTTTTTTTTTAAAAGTAGACGCAAGGTCCCACCAATTCGCATGAGGCGGGCTAGGGCCATATGAACCCTAGCCCACGGGCCGGCCCACAAAAGTCAGCAAAAAATTAAGTTCGCGATGGCGCGGGCCAGCCCACTTTGATAGTACTAACGAATATGACTTTGTCGCTTTCACCTTCTTTCATATATGGAGAAAGATTAAGTTGCCTTTTCGCCTTCTTCTACTTCGGTTCACCTTCTTCCATATTTGGATGAAAACGATGTTATCGTTTCACCTTTTTTCAGATCTAGAGGAAAACAACATTGTCGTCGCTTCATCTTCTTCCAGATCTGGAAGAAGACGATGTTGTTGTTTCACCTTATTCCATATCTAAAGGTTAGCTTGTTTGTGTGTGTGTAAAAATGGTACACATAACGAAATTATCATACAACAAATTCTATTGTTTTTATTCAAAAGAAGATCGCAATGATTACCCTTGTAGCGTGCTTTGATGGAGTGGTAGAAGGCTAGAAGCCTAGAAGTCCCCTCGAACAGAACAATTGCACGGTCTCTACTCTCTAGTCTGACAACCTTCTAGGCAAGAGAGAAATAAAATAGAGAGTTTTACGAGAAACTACTTTTCTATATATTCTTAACCCTGGTAAGAAATGATAATAGCTATATATATATAGACATATTTGGGCTTTAATTGTGCTAGCCATTTAAGGCCCAAACTTACCCATACAAAATGTGGACCTAATGGGCCTAGCACGCAACCCGCACGGGCTACGGTCAACACGCGGGCTTAGCGGGTCGGTTCGCAAAAGCTCGCAAAAAATTATGCCCGCGATGGGACGAGCCTAATAGGCGGGCCAACCCGCTTTGACAGTACTAATGAAGATGACATTGCCGCTTTCACCTCCTTTCAAATCTGGAGAAAGATTAAGTTGCCTTTTCACCTTCTTCCAGATCTAGAAGAAGACAACTATTTTGGTTCATCTTCTTCCAAATATGGAGGAAGACGATATTATTGTTTCACCTTTTTCTAAATCTAGAGAAAAACAATATAATGTTGTCGCTTCATCTTCTTCCATATCTAAAGGAAGATTTTTTTGTTTGTTTGTAAAAAGGATACGCATGGCGAAATCATCATAAAACAAATTCTATTGTTTTTATTCAAAAGAAGATCAAAGAGATTACCCTTGTAGCGTGCTTTGATGGAGTGGTAGAAGCCCCCTCGAACTAAACAATTGCTCAGTTTCTACTCTCTAGGACCACGAAAAGTTTTACGAAAAATTATTTTTCTATATTTGCTTAACCCCAATAAGAAATGATAATATATATATATATATATATATATATATATATATATATATATATATATATATATATATATATATATATATATCTTTGGGCTTAAATGGTGCCATTTAAGGCCCAAACTTACCCATCAAATAATTAATTTATTAATTGCATTAATAAAGTTCGACATCATTCTATTCTAGATTTTAATTTTTATAGATCTTTGCAAATGTATAGTGACGAGTTAGCAATGAAAATATCTCTTTTGATCAGTGCTAATTGCTACTACTTTTATATTATTATGTGTAAATATGTAAATTTGACATCAATCTTATATGATAATTTTGTGTTAATTAAAAATTAAATATGTACATATTTGATATCTATATCATTATGGTGATTTGGATACATCGATGATAAAATCATGTAAATTAAACCTCAATCAGATGTGTCTTGAAATCATATTAGCACAAATGTGTGTTTGGAGAGGTTGTGAGAAGTCAAGAAAATGAAAAGCGCAAGTAGGAAGTAAGATGATGATATATGCATTTATGTCCATGTGAACATTTTCTCTATATTTGGCTTCATAGGCTAATGAGTAATGAACATAATGCAACTTTTTTCAATTTCTTCAATCATTAAAGAGAACTTTTCCTTGTATGCATTACTTGTTCCTCACTACGGTTACATTAATTTAAATTTAATCTCAAATTAGTTGATTTTAATTTTTACTTGAAATAAAGTCTGATTAGAACTTTTTAATTATAACACGAATATCCTGTTTTGCACATATATACTATTAATAGTTGGCAACAACTAACAAGTATAACTTCCAAATTGAGTAGATTTGAGCTTTATTGGGCAAGCAAAGCTAGCAACAGTTTCCAGAGTCTTAGTTTCCTGTCTTCATCAATTACTTCTTCAAACTCCATTTTAATTTCCCAGCAGGCAACCATTCATCACAGGTCCACTCCATTAACTCCATCCTTCTCTCTGCTTCCCAATAATCTTCTTCTTCCAACTGTTCTTGACAGCCTCCTCTCACCTACACTCTCCCTTTCTTCTCTCCGCCCCATCCACCATTTTCACTTGTACCCACTAAAGGATTACAACAAGGCATTGCAAATTTGCAATCTTTCTGCTTTTCGTAGATGGGCTGCTCTGCTTCGCGCTCGCATGAGTTTATTCACCACCGGAATCCCTCCAATTCGGGTTCTTCGCGCCCACAGTCGCCGTATTCGTTTTCCGACTCCGGGTCAACTCCGGTTTCCCGGACATTTTCCCTGCCGACGCCGCTTGTTCACCACCCGCCTCTCAGGAGAGGGGACACCAACCACCTGGTGTCGCTCACCTCCACCACGTACGGCTCTCTTGTGCTGATTGACGGTCCCAGAGCCCCGAACCCTAACCCTAAGTTCAGTGGTCCGGAGGGTGGGAACCGGAATGCCCAGATGGGGAAACCCGAAAATGGGACTGACCCGTTACGTCATTTGTCCCTTGACTCAGTAATCAACACTTGGGAGCTCATGGAAGGCCTGGATGATGAGTTTGGTTTTCATGTAGTGGAGTCTCCCAAGAAGCCCAGTGTGAAAAGTCTTGAAATTGAAGAAGAATTTGATGTGAAGTCCTATGAGTTTGTTGAGCACTCAGATTCAAAGCCATTGTGGAAGCACTTGTCTGAAGAGTCCTTGTTGGCCAAGATGGATCCCAATGTAGCTTTGAGCTATAGGAAAGCGTTGTCGGCTAAACAATCGGGGTGTAGAGAGGGGATCGATATGCCACAACCGAAAACACCGAAATCTGAAGTGTTCAATGAAAATGATAAGAGTTTATTGAGCTTGGTGTTGCCTGACAATGATGTTCGACTAAAGGGTGGTGAGGAGAGGATTGTTCTGTACTATACCAGTTTAAGAGGAATTAGGAAGACCTATGAAGATTGTTGTAATGCCCGGGTGATCTTTAAAGGGTATCGAGTTTGTGTAGATGAAAGGGATATATCCATGGACTCATCATATAGGAAGGAGTTGCAGGGCGTGTTGGGAGAGAGAGGGGTGAGCTTGCCACAGGTGTTTATTAAGGGGAGGTACATTGGTGGAGTGGAGGAGATTAAACAACTTAACGAGTCAGGCGAATTGGCTAATCTTTTGGAAGGGTTTCCCGTTAAGCACCATGGACTCGCTTGTGAAAGTTGTGGCGATGCAAGATTCCTGCCATGCCCAAATTGCTACGGGAGTCGAAAAGTGTTTGAAGACGATGAAGGGAAGTTGAGGAGGTGCCCGGACTGCAACGAGAACGGACTGATTCGATGCCCCAGCTGCTACCCTTAGAAGTTAGAAGTTCTTCATTGACTGGTGCCCAACATTCTTGATCAATTTTTCGTGAGGATACCTGAGAATGGTACAACAATATTGTATTATTCTAAATTATCTGTGTATATTGTGCTCTAGACCTCTCTATCTCATCAACTGTTTATATTATCTAGCTTGTGGCCGGTTATGTTCATCGTCTCTTTGAACAATTCTAAGGAATAAAATGCTAACTATGGAAGTGAAACTATGCACTTTCTGTTACATGGATTCTTGTTGGATACTGATGACATGAGATGTCTGTCTGCTGTAACTTTAACTAATGTAGGCTTATGATTCCAAATCACAGATACATTTAAGCTGTACAATGAGGCATTCTTTAGTTCTTCCATGTCTGATTTTCACATTGATGGGGTCTGTTCAACATTCTGTGTATTCTATTCAGAGACTTACAGGTTCTTTCATTGCTATGTTTGATATGAATATGATGCCAATTAACTACTAGGGTTATAGGATTGAGTATATAACCTGCAAAACTGGTCCCAATTCACAATTATATTGTGCTGAATATTGCAGAGAATCATATAGGGAGAGTATCCCTCAGGAGGTTTTAATTTGTTTTTTTGGGAATTTGGTCTCGAGAAAGGTGGAAGAGCTGACCTATATTCCTAAAATGTTAACAACCAAACTCTATACTATATGCCAAGAACCTTGTGCTCAGATGGTATCTCTATGGTTCCCTTTGAGAGAAGGTCACAGGATCGAACCTGGTGGTGGGGTATTGATTCTTTGAGCTGCATTAGTTAGAGAAAATATAGAACAGATATTACCAACTTGGATGACGTGAATGACCGTCCCCTTCGGCAGTACTTTGCCCCTTGACCAAAAAAAAAAGGAAATACTATGTGACTGCCAACAAAACAAAAAAATAAAAATAACAAAAATACTATGTGATTGCCAGCAAAACAAAACTATTAACTTTCTTTAGATTAGTCAACTAGTTAAATTATGTTTTGGCTTGATGTGTTTTTTAACGTCAACTAAATTTTAATGCTTTGGCTTGAGTGTGTGTGTGTTAGTTGGGCCAACATTTTTAAAATCAGTAAATTTATACCAAAAATTTTACATGTCAATTTCTTGGTATAAAAATTCTTTTAGAAATTATACATTAACATCTTCATTACCTAACTCATAAGCCACATTTTTAACCAAAATTTTCTAACATTTCCACACTGCAAGAATTATAGATCATTATTTAGATTGGATTGTAAGATTAGTTAAATTAAACAAATTAAAAAAGTCTAATATAAAATTATTTTATTATTATTGAATGAACGAATGATGTATTTCGAGTAAACACTATTTATGTGTTATACGGAATAATTCATAAATCACACAACGAGGTCCACTGTACTAGCTTGATATAAAATTTAAAAATTTTGGTCAAAATTTTTATGGGAAAAGAAAAAAGAAAACGTAAATGTTAAAAGAAAAGAGAAATTATAATTAAAAGAAAAGAAAAAAAAATGATTAAAAAAGTGAGATTGCTTACATCATCTCGGGACTGGGTGCGAAGTATTCTCGTTCAGATTTTCAGAATTTTGAGGGCTGCTCAGACCAAACCCCTAACAGAACCTCCGGAAATCAGCAATGGACATGAATGGGTCGCCGCCGATGGACATGGAGAGTTTGGGGCAGTGCTTGAGCAGCTTCATTGACGACGGAACCGTCGAGAGCCACCGCTATTACCTCTCTCGGAGGACGGTGCTGGAGATGCTCAGGGATCGCGGCTATGCCGTCCCCATGGCTGAGATTGATATTTCCCTCCAAGATTTCCGCGACAAATACGGCCAGAGACCCGACATTGACCGCCTTAAGATAACCGCTCTCCACAAGTACGATCCTGACAATAAGGTACTCTTCTGCTCGCTAGATTCTGAATTTAGATTCCTATTTACTTGTCCAGTTGTTGTTTTCTTCAATCCTTATCACAGGTTCTCGATAAATTCATTCAAATGTTTAGAAAAAGGAAGAGATTATTATGGATGCTTCTAATTTCAATTGTGAAATATCGACGAAGAAGGGCTTAAACTTAACAGAGATTAGGTTTTGGAGGGGGTGGGGGGATTATCCTCTAATAAACTGGTAACTCCATTACAATTAGTCTCAGGAACAACAAAAAATTACCAAAAATTAAAGGAAGAAATGTGGTTTATTGACTTCTTGTACAGAATGGTAAGGATGGAGCCATTACATGTGCTTTGGCTTAAGATTCTTTCTACTCCCTTGCAGTTGAATGCTTGAAAAGATCAATAGGTAGTGTTTCTGTGTTTGAGTGTGAGTTAACGGGGTATTTAGGCTTAGCAGGGCCAAATTTGTTATTCCTAGAATGATGGGAATTGGGATAACTTTATCTCATTTGGTGCCTTATGTATTTCTTCCTTTACTATTTGGAACCTTATAATGTTCAAATGTTTATTTCAGATTCTGGCCATATTCTGTGGTCCAAGTGTGATAAAAGTAAATATTATCCGAGGTATTTTAACTCAGATAGTCAACAAGGAGACCTTGAATCGGCTTATACTGATTGTGCAAAGCACACTAACCAACCAAGCCATGAAAGCTGTGGAACTCTTTTCGTGCAAAGTTGAAATCTTCCAGGTATGTTCTCTGATTAATTATGTTTTTTGAAGATCCATTTTTTATGCCTAATGGTTGAAATATGAGCTTATAATGTACTTTGGGCTACTGGCTACAGATTGTTTTCCTGCAGCATATTGACTTGTTAGGTCATTCTTGCTTATTATCTTCAGGTCAAGGACTTGCTTGTCAACATCACAAAGCATGCCTTGAAGCCAAAGCATCAAGTGCTGTCTGATGAAGAGAAACAACAATTGTTACAGAAATACAGCTTGGAAGACAAGCAGGTTAGTGTAAGAGTATTGCTTTCTTGATTTATTTTGAACACGGTAATTTTCTCTTACGAGCCTTGCTGGTATCATTGTAGTGTTGGCACCAAAATTTTGTTGGCCTCACTTAATGCAATAGTATAATTACTTGGATTATACGCTTATTAAAAAACAAATTTGGTGTCTGGTAGATTATGCCACTCGCACATCTCCAATCTGGTTGAATAAAGTACTATCAGTTACTTCCTTATGGAAAACACATAGTAATTGATTTTTTTTTTTTCTGGAGGCTAAAGAGGGTACCATTTTGTGAGTACTGTATCTGTTACAGTCTCCATCTTTAGGCAGGAAATGGATGATATTATGCAATATGCATTCTTTCTGCTGGAGTTTACATATATACTAAAGTCAATGATTTATGCTTACTGGCCATTTAGCAAGATAATAGCTTTATGTGGATCTCATTTCTCTTATTTAAGTCACTTATTCTTGAAATCTTTGAGCAGTTAAAGTAGTTGTTCTTGAAAATTTTCAGCTCCCTCGGATGTCACAGAAGGACGCAATTGCCCGCTACTTTGGACTCGAGAAGGGCCAGGTTGTGAAGGTTACATACACCGGTGAGATCATTGAGACACATGTTACATATCGCTGTGTTTGGTGATGCTCTTATGATATAACATTATCCAGTTGTCGGCTTCCTCTCTGCCATGGCAGAAATGATTGGAACGTGTAAGAATTTTCCAGTTCACCCTGCTCTCTCCTGTTACCACCACGACCACCACCACCACCACCACCGCCTCCAAACAGGGTTAGCAAACCCCAATGGAATGTACTTGTATTCAATGTCGTATTAGTTTAGGATCCCCCTGAAACATTTTGTGACTTGTATGATGTTTATCAATGTGTAGTAGCCAACTAGCCATGACAATAACCCCTTGTTGCCATCTTTTGATTTATGGGGGAATGTTTAAGGGTGCATTCAGATATTATTAACATCATATCAAGTGTCTCTCCTATCCTCTTTTAAGTCCTTTTGCGATTTTGAGGCAAATTATACTATGATATTAGAATCATAGATAAATGTTTATTTTTATTATACTAAATGTTCATTTTTAATGTATTACAAATTTATTTTTAAATAGTAAACTTAATTTTTTTTGAAAACCAAGAAAAACGAGATTTATTAATCACTCAAACATAAATGCTGAATACATTCAGGATAAGAAAAAAACTGAGAAACCTTTAGTACAATTTAAAAAAAAATAATATATTAAAAATAAATCTTCAATATATTAATAATGAATCATATACATATTTTTCTTTATAAGGTGGATCATACCATTGTTTAATCAGTCTTTCATTATTCATTATTCTATGGATCATGATCAACACATTTGTGTGAATCATACATAAAAAAGTAAATTTTTAATATAGTAAAAGTAAATTATTTGGATATATAAAGTATATTTGAAAAATATAGTAAAAGTAAATTATTTGGATATATAAAGTATATTTGAAAGTACATAATTTTTTTTTTATATATTATCAAATAATGTATATTAAGTATACAAATAATATATTTTTATTATATTACAAATATTAAAAAGAGTTAATTACACTTTTGGTCCTATAACTATTGATGTCTTGTTAATTTCAATCCACGACTTTTAAAACTAACAATTTAATACCCTAACTATTTAATTTTTATCAATTTCAATCCTTCCGGTCAAATTACCGGTGAAAAGTAGCCGGAAAATTTTAAAGGCTAAATTGATGAGGACAAATTTGTCTTTTTACATCTATTCTTCTCTCCCTTCTCCGACATAATAGGTTACATTGGCACCGCCGGCCTTCTGAACATCCAACTCACCGTCCGCCGCCGTCTCAAAAGCCAACGACCGACCCACCGTCCAGGAGCCTTTTCCATGGAGTTGAGGAGCCTTTTTAAACTAGAAGAAATCACATCGTAAAGGCAATGAAATTTCCATGAAATTTTGTTGGATTCAATGAGGAATGACAACACTGATGCCCCTGCTTTTGCATTGGTCAAGTGTATGTTCAAGAATCAAATTTTCCTGCAATTTAGTTTGTGGAGGCTGCCACCTACAACACACAACCACCTATCTTCCTTCGCCGTCGCCGGCGGCGGCGATGGCGGCTGGAGCTGATGATTGGCGTCAACACCATGCTAGTTAACCTCTATCCTAGGTAAAATAGGAGAGATCAGATCATGTGGGGGGCATTTGTCTGCCCTCTTGAACAAACAAATTAAAAGATCATCATCAATTGTTTATGTATTAAAATTGTGGAGTTCCCCCACAGAGTCTCCAAGGCCAAATCAAATCGCAGGTCTCAGTTCATTTTGAATTGTTTTTAATTTTTTCCTGAAACTGTATGGTGTCAAAAAATCTTTGGTAAATATGTGCAAATAAGAGTTAGGGTAATGGAGGAGAAAGCACCGGCGGTCACGGAAGGTGGAAGGGAAGGAACAGAAAAATAGATGTAAAAAGACAAATTTGCCCCCATCTTTTTAGCCTTTAAAAATTTCCGGCTACTTTTCAACGGTAATTTGACCGGAAGGACTAAAATTAAGAAAAATTGAATAGTTAGGGTACTTAATTGTTAATTTTGAAAGTCGTGGATTGAAATTAACAAGACCTCAATAGTCATAGGACTAAAAGTGTAATTAACTCTATTAAAAATATATAATGCATATTCATAATTCGCACAATAATTTGCCCGCATTTAATTAGTCACAATGAGACATAATGAGATTATATTACGATCTAAAGAATTTAACAAGATAGATTATATTGCGATCTAAAGAATTTAACATGCCCTAATTGTTTGTTTATTTTTTAAATAATATTTTTAATTTTATTTTTTAAGATATATGGTTGGTTTAAAATTATAGGCAAAGTTAGGGACCTGATTACTATTAAAGAAAACTTTGAGTAGACATACAAAAGCTGTAGAATATATTTTCAAAAATTGAAGTAGACACTCGACCCTCAGCTTCGCCGGCGATCGAACAGAAAGAAAATTGAAGTTTTTGCGGGGAAGACCGGCGTTGTGATTTCTTTTTCTAAGCAATTACATATAACTTATCTGTCTGCATTTTAGCAAGATGAGTGAAATGTTGGGCGGAAGCGATCCTTCAGTATCGACGGAAACAACGAAGGGGAGTAGTGCTTTAGATGCGAGCCGAATCGCAGAGGTAAAATCATGGCTAGTTTCCCAATTCGACGCTGTTGGGAAGGACGTCCCTGATTTCGAGTACACTGCACGAAGCGTTGCGCATTTGCACAATATTGCGACCATTTCTCAGGCCAAAAATCAAGCCGCAGGGATCGTAGCCAATGATTTCCGTCAAAAAGCTGCCGAGTATAGGTCTCAAGGTACTAGGATCTACCTTCTCAATGTTTTTGGATGATTTTATGTCGCCCTATTTTTTCTTATATATTTAGTTTGATCTATTGTTCATCGGCCTAAACTTTTCCACGAACTGAATCTGTCATGATTGTAGCTGCGAGGATAAGAGAGGTATTAGAAAATGTGGGATTGGCCCAAGAGAGTTTGACGCCGAATGTGGTTTCATCTGCACAAGTGCTTGCCAGTATGGCGAATTTGTTGAATATTAGAGACACTGAATTGAGTAGGTGGGTTGGCTTTGTTGTTTTACATCTTCTTTCGCTTTCTATTTGTTTGGGATTTCATAGTAGTCTTACAAAAGAACAAAAAATTGTAGCTTTCTTGTAGCAATGGCAGATCTTTCTCTTAGGAAAACAGCAGTAGAAGAGAAGAGGGCTAAAGTGCAACAGGAATCTAAAGTTCTTCTTGATTACACTCGGAAGGCAATAGCAAGATTGACTTACTTGAAAAGGTAAATCTAGAGACAGTTAGATTGAGGGCTTTTGTTATGGTTTGATCAAATGTTATGCTGTATTGCAATACTTGAGGCAAATATATGTTTTTGAATGTCAGAAAGGTTGACCGGTATGTAATGTTTCTATTACTGATTTTTAATTATTTACTTGGTAGAACGCTTGCTCAGCTTGAAGATGACATTGCTCCTTGTGAAGCACAAATGGAAAATTGGAAAACGAACCTGACAATTATGGATTCCAAAGAGAGGCAATATTTTCAACAGTATTCTAATTACAAGGTAACTCCATTTTGCTTTAAGCATCATTTAGAGATCAAAGGCCTAATTTTTCCAATCATCTCTGGCTTGATTTATCCTATTTTTTGTTAAGGAAAAAGTTGTATGAACTCTGCATTTTTAGCCAAATGCTTTGTCTGCATATAGCATTTACACTATCAAATCCACAGTTGGGGCTTATTTTTAAAGAAAAGTATTCCGTTTGCTTGGTACTCTTATGTTGTGCTAACCTCCTTCTGTGTGATAGAGCTTCAAGGTGTAGTAGTATTTGAAGTGCATTAAGCATCAAACTATATTGCTTCTTCTGCTGGACTTTTGTGGCTTAACTCTGAAGAGTCTAGACTCTAGGTGCCTCTCAAATTTTATTCTAGAAAGCAGTGAACCTCAATGACTGTTTCAAAATAAAGCTCGGAGATACGTGTTTAATATTGGGGTTAGTTTTCCTTTGGGAGGGATAGGCAGATGTCTGGTAAACACCAAGCTATTTGCAAAGCTAACTGTTTGACAATCTTGTGTGGTTTGGAGCATTTTTCTTTTGCTTAATATACCAAGCTATGTACCCCTAGTGCAAACTTGTTAGCTTGGTTAATTAACAAAGCCAAACTTGACTAAAATGCATCCATTACCAAATGAGTTGTACCTGAGTTAACTGCAGCTACTAACTGAGCCACAACTATTCATGCTAGATTTTGCTTCTCTACAGCTCTAAGACATAAGTTTTCCATTTTTTGAGCTGGCTGTGGAAGTGTTGATTACGGTATGGAGACTCTTTGAAGTATCGCATATGGTGGCGAGGTACTGAGATGGTTTTGAGTGATGAAGTTCTGGAACTAAATATTACATGAACAAAAAGGATGTATAACTTAAAAGCCAGTAACTTGGTGACAATATTTATGCTGCTATTGCTAGATAATATTTATCTTCTCTGGAAATAGTGTCCAAATAGATGCAGAGCTTTTTTACCATCTTGCCACCTTATAGGGAGAAAATGAGACAACATAGAGGAATTGGGTGTTAACAAGTTACAAGCCACCTTATAGGTTCCTTTTGTCCACTTGAAAGGCATGTGCTCTGCTCAAAGGGATACAGTATGCTTGATCAATCTGAAACCTGTAATCCACGTTATCCTGTTATGCATATAGTTACGACGAATGTTCCATATGCAGGCAATGCTCAACCGTGTTGGCTATACCCCAGAGATAAGTCATGGAGTGCTGGTTGAAATGGCGGAGCACAGAAAGGATTTGGAGAACAAAACAAAACCTATTCTTGATACTTTGAGAAGCTACCAAGACCTGCCTCCGGTAAGATCGACTGAATTCTATCTGAACCTTTTAAATTGCCTTCTTCACATGCTTCGCCATTGAATTCTGGAGCTTATGATGTAGGATAAAGCCTTGGCTGCATTGGCAATTGAGGAGAAGAAAAGGCAGTATGGTGATGCTGAGAAGTACCTTGAAGATGTGTTGCAGTCAGCTCTTGCTGCTACAGATTGAAAATGAAAGCCAGTTCTTGAAAGCTTCTTTTGTCAGGATTACTTCCTAGTTTTTACTCTATTAGGAACATTAAGGCAAGTTCTATTTGGCCCAGTTTTTTATTTTTATGTTTTGAAATTGTTGTGTTCGTTGCTGTATTCACTTTTCCTTATTCCTTTTCTTTGTACGTTTTCATATAATGATGTAGCAAGCTTGGAGAAAGTTGTTAATAGGATGAGCTTTGATCCACAAGTAATCTATTAATTTTATCATCTTTGTTCTTGTGTAATTTTCTCCATACGTTTTTGTTTTCCTGCATAATTTAAGTTCACACCATATTCAAAAAAAGGAAACAATTCTTGTTTTATTCCTCATGCCACATTCACGTATACTCTTCATACATACGGAGGCTGCACGGACCATTTACAAGTACAAATTATAAATCCAACCACCTCATCATCATCTAAAGGGTCAAATAGTTGAACAAAAAAGGTCCTATTAAATGCCACTTAGATTAACATTTTTAAAAAATTATATTTGTATAACAATTAAAATAATAATATTTATTTATAAAAATTAAATTAATTTTTTATTTAAAAAAACATGGCAGCTTGACTGCCAATATTTATTTATAAAAATTAAATTAAATTATTAAAAAAAACATGGCAGCCAAGCTGCCATGGAAACCGTCCATGGCATCTTGACTGCCAATATTTATATAAAAATTAAATTAAAGTATTAAAAGAAAAAAAAAAACAAACAAACAAAACATGGCAGCCAAGCTGCCATGGAAACCGTCCATGGTAGCTTGGCTGCTGCCACGGATATCGTCCATGGCAGCTTGGCTGCGAAAGCAGCACGAAGAATTTTGGCGGGCATCTCCATCCTAGACAGAAAAGCCCGCCATGGCAGCTAAGTTGCCTGGCAGTCGTCCATGATAGCTTAGACGAAGAAGCTTAACGGAGAAGTTCGGGTTTCTTTCTTTAGATAGAAAGTTTTTTTTTTTTTTTTTTAAATTATAGGGAAAATGGCACTTTTTCCCCCTATGTTATATACTTATAGCACTTTTTCCCCCTCAATTATTTATGTAAGCACATTAGTCCCCTCAATTATTTTAAAAGTGGTGGTTTTCCCCCCTAATATATTAAATTGACATTTCTACCCTTAAAGTAAACATTTTATTTATTTTACTTCTCCAACAAATTATTGCGTATATGTAGCGATTACCACGGTTCGGTTCGAACTGAACCAGACACTATAGCAATCGAATTAAAAATTTCAGTTATGATTCAGATCTAGAACCCAATATTTGGATTTCAATTTATTAAATTTAAGAATAAAAAAAAACTGGATCATGAACCGGCGGTTCCGGATCCCGTTCGCGATTTTGAACCGTCTTTATTTTAAAATTTTATTTTTTATTTTAAAATAGTTTAAATTCAACAATAAATGTATTTTATTTTTTCAGTTCGGAACATGAACCGGCCATTCCAGTTCGCGATTTTAATAAACTCTAAATATCGCGTTTTGATTATAAATTGTAATTGGAATATTTTGGTTTGGTTACTATAGTATCTGGTTTGAACCAAATTATAGTAATAATTTATTGGAGAATAAAAATAAATGAAATATTTATTTTAAGGGTAAATATGTCCATTTAACATTTCAGGGGGAAAAAGAGCCACTTAAATAATTGAGGGGGAAAAAATGCTATAAGTATATAACATAGGGGGAAAAAGTGTCATTTTCCCTTATTTTTTTAATATTTTTAAATAAGATTCCACAAAAGATGCATGTCATGTAAGTAAAGTTAACAAGTTACCTTTTGGTAACCTATTAAATAAGTTAATTGATAAATTTAATTAGTTTAAGGGTCTAGTTGGATTTTTTTTAATAGTTTGAATGTCTAATTGAACTTTGGTATATAGTTGGAGGGTATATTTGACCCTTATCCATGATCTAAATACTATTCTAGGTCAATATATTTTTCCTACAGCCTACCACGGTCATTTAAAAGACTAGAAAAATCCGTATTCACTACCTAAAAATATGCATCGGATTAGTCTATTTTGTGATCCTAGCCGACAAAAGACCATATGATAGGATAAATTAAACCAGTCCAGATTGTCTAGAACTGACCGGCTTATACCAATAAGGTCAATGGATCACTCTCGCTAAAAATAAAATTTGTAATCTTGTGATTATCAAATCAGCAACCTGATCAACTTGATGGGGATTGCGTTGAAAGAACTAATTTTTCATAGCCTTTGAATGGTTGGGGAGAAATTAATTCCATGCACATGAATATTCTTGCATGGTTCCCAACCCAGTGGGAAAAAGAAAAATCAACCAAAAAAATTGGATAAGAACAACAAAGGAAGCGAAATATATATCAATGATTCCGGACAACTATAAATAGGGTAAACTGCATCCATATTTATTCCCAATCCAAGCTAGCAACCTCGCTAAGCTGCTATTTACAATCTAAAAAATGGCGGCCATCTCCGATATTATGCTATACCTAATTAGATTCCCTTTTATTATCTTTCTCCCATTATTGGCACTTATTATAATGCTTAGTGTCACAATCAATTGGCTAAGTTCCAAAAGAAAGCCACTCCCTCCGGGGCCCAAACCCTGGCCGTTCGTCGGATCTCTCCCGGAGATTCTCCGGAACAAGCCTGCTTTCCGGTGGATACACAATTTCATGGACGAAATGAAGACTGAAATCGCATGCATCCGTCTCGGGGGCACCTACGTGATTCCCGTCACTTCCCCGGAGCTGGCATGCGAGTTCTTGAAGAAGCAAGACTCCATTTTCTCGTCAAGGCCCCTTTGCATGTCCGCCGATCTTGTCAGCAACGGATACCTGAGCTCCCTCTTTCTCCCCTCCGGCGATCAGTGGACGAAAATGCGAAGAATTCTCACCTCCCACGTGCTTTCTCCGGCGACTCTCCATTGGCTTCACGATAAAAGGGTGGAAGAAGCCGATCATCTCCTTCGTTACATCTACGACCAGTGCAAGACCTCGGAGGCCAGCAACATGGGCGTGGTGGTTAACGTGCGAGCCGCCACACGACAATACTGCGGAAACGTCGCTAAGAAGATGTTTTTCAACAAGAGATACTTTGGCAGTGCCGAAGAAGATGAAGAGGTGGTTGAGGCCATGTTCTCAATTCTTAGCTATACTTATGGAATGGGAATCTCCGACTACATTCCTTGGCTGAGTGTATTCGATATTGACGGCCATAAAAGCATGATCAAGAAAGCTCTGGCGGTCACGAGAAAATACCTTGATTCCGAAGTGGACAAGAGGATTCAAATGTGGAAAGATGGGAGTAAAACTGCCGAAGAAGACATCCTTGATGTTCTTGTTACGCTCAAGGATAATGATGGAAGACCAATGTTGAGTGATGCAGAGATCAAAACACAACTTCTGGTAATATAAAACCCACTTTTATATATTAATTAATGCATGATCAAATAACAACATAACCTTCCTCTAGTGAGAACTTGTGAGTTGTGAACCAACATGAATGCACAAAAATATTTACATAAATGCATAAAAATTGAAGATTGAGTGCATTGTACACATGAATATGAGATTGTGTATGTGCATTTATGTTGATGTTTTTGTAAATTTACATACAAGTTTTTGCAGGTTCTCACGGAAAGTCGGGAACAGGGGTACTCAAACATTACCATATATATATATATATATATATATATATATATATATATATATATAGGGTCTGGTTTTCGTGCGCACAGACCTTCTCGTGCAGACGTGCAGTCATCCACTATTATGTATACAAGAATGCACCGCAATATGTTCAAAAATGCACCAAAGTGTGCTGCATTTGTGCATTTTACCCTTGTTCATTTCCGTATACGTTGTCATGCATTTAGGTATATCTAATGGTGCATGAGTGCACGTCCCAAGATTGTGGTGCATTTGTGTATTTCACCCTGATACATTTCTGAACACGTTGTAGTGCATTTATGCATACATAATGGTGCAATATATATATATATATATATATATATATATATATATATATATATATATATATATATATATATATATATAGTGTCCATGAAGGGAATAATAGGAGTATCTAGTATTACTCTTCTATAATTTCCTAATGGTTAAAATTGTTGTTTAACAACTAACACATGTTTTGTCATAATATTTTGAAGGAAATAATGGTTAAAATTGTTGTTTAACAACTAACACATGTTTTGTCAATATTTTAAAGGAAATAATGGTTAAAAATGTTGTTTATCAACTAACCCATGTTTTGTCATAATATTTTTAAAGGAAATAATGGTAGGATCTTTGGACAATCCATCGAATGCTGTGGAATGGGCGCTGGCAGAGATGATAAACCAACCAAAACTATTGGAAAAAGCAGTGGAAGAAGTAGACAAAGTGGTGGGGAGGGAGAGGCTTGTTGAGGAGTCCGATTTACCTAAGCTAAACTATATAAAAGCCTGTGTTAAAGAGGCTTTTCGGCTCCACCCAGTCGCACCATTCAACATCCCCCATGTCTCCGTGGCGGACACCGTTGTCGGCGGCTACTTCATCCCCAAGGGCAGCCAAGTGCTCATCAGTCGCATTGGGCTTGGCCGGAACGGAAGAGCTTGGGAGGAGCCTCTCAAATTTAAGCCGGAGCGTCACCTCAAAAGGGACGGAGAGGAAGTAGTATTAACCGATTCGGAGTTGAAGATGTTGTCGTTTAGTGCCGGGAGACGAGGATGTCCGGGTGTGAAGTTAGGTTCTTTGATGTCTACAATGTTGATGGCTAGGCTTGTTCAAGGCTTCACTTGGAGTGTTCCAGCTGACCTGCCATGCATAGACTTAACTCAGGCTAAACATGATCTCTTTCTTGAAAATCCACTATTTGCATTAGCGAAACCGCGATTGTCCAAAAATCTCTACGTGTAGTCAACCATCATCTACTACAATATACTAATTAAATAAATTTTTCTGTAATGAAAATACTATCGGTAATGGTTGATTACTACTTCGTAGCTTCCCTCCTTAGCTTATTTTATTTGGCTAATATGTTACTTTAAAATTATGTTAATAAAGGTGTGATGAGGGATTGAAAGAGTTGAATCTAGTTTTATGTAATTTGGGGTTTTAATTAAAATTTTGAAGGATCTTGATTAATGCAGAATCGGCATTCAGCAATAATACTATAGAATTTGTGAAGGAGAGACAATAAATTGGTGTCATAATGGATTTAAGAAGGGTTTTATTCCAATCTGGATTTGACTGCTAATTAATGCATTTCCATAATCTTATTAGCTCATTCTTTTGTTGAAAAATGATTGTATCTAATAAAATTGTCCACACTCTGATAGATTTTTTCAGCACCGTACTTTTCCTTTCAAACTCTAGAATGGATGATGAGTTTCTTACAACAATACTTTTTAGTTATTTTTATTTTTATGGAATAAGTTATTTACTTGATTTATCTGCTTTGTGTCTTAATAGAGATTGACCACTATATTAGAGATTTATTGACATTTATCAATTATATACTAGTATTTGATATGCGCGATGCGCAAAAAATATATGCCCAATATTAAAATTAAATATTAAAATCTTAGTTATATTAATTTTTTAAAAATAATAGTGTGTTAGTGTGTGAGTGTGTGTGTGTGTGTATATATATATATAATTGTATAATTCATATTAATATTATTGAGGTAAGAATTATAAAAATGATAAATTACTAAATATAACTATGTTAACATTTTAATTAAAACTTTTTTTTTTTGAATGCTACTAGCTCTATTACATTGTAGTATCTGTTCATATTTTAATTAAAACCTAAATGAATTCAAACTTACCATTGAAGGATGTAAGAAAAAATATTGTGTATGCATGTGCATGGTAATAATAATGTGGAAAGATAACAGAAGTTATAATGGCAATGATATTTTTGTCCAAAAAATTATGTAGTACAACTTTTATAGCACAAGGTACAAAAATAATTAACGGAAAACATGGACATAAACCAGGGGTATAACCTGGATTGAAGCTTATTATGTTTTTAGATATTTTATATATATATATATATATATATATATATATATATATATATATATATATATATATATATATATATATATTGTTGAATTAATTAATGGTTAAGTGAATCTATCAATTGTCTAAACATCTAGCTCAACATATTTAGTTGCATCTCTCTCTATCGTTTTAATCCAAAAGAAGAGAGCACAAAAAACTCAACGTATAGTACAACTCAAGACGTAACCTTCTTAGGCCTTGAGACACCACAATTATCTTCCAATAAAATATGCATGCATGATGGATCAACAATTTCATGAAAGCTCCAACTTTGATTAAGTGATTAACTAGCTAAAAAATTAAACTTGATGTCATATTTTGTTCTATGTCATAATTGAATAACTAATTATTTCTTAACTCTTAAACAAGCCTCATGCCCCCCTCACCCCCCCCCCCCCCCACCAGCCCCATTATATATGTGTGCGCGCGCTTTAGTAATGGGAATCAAAATCATTATTGTTAGTGTTTAGTTGACAATTTTTTAAAACACTAACTATGAGATTTGATTACCCTCTCAATTAAAAATCACATTCTGTAATTAAAAACAAGTATCATTTCATCTCATTAGTAATATGATTTTTAAGTTTGGATTAATGCTTTTAAATTTTGTTTTGATTTTTTTGTTCATATTAGTGCTTTGGATGTCATTATATTGTTTTTTTTTTTAAATAATTTTTAAAACCTTTATTCCCATTATAGGGTCATACATAACCAAACATCAATATTGATAATCACTCTAATTCCATAGTACTACCAAAAATGCAAAATAATTTCACCAAAACCCATTACCATTACCAAGTATTTAATTCTCATTCCAATTTTAATTCCCATGTGTGAATCAAAGACACCCTAAATAAAGAAGAAGGGTATAGGGTTTAGGATCTTTTAGCACACTGAAGGAGAATATCAAGGTAAGTTCTACTATACAAATTCTGATCTATTTAATTATGTTTCTTGACCTCCTTTTCCTTCGAGGTTAGCTAAGAAGACGAAAAAAGATTTAGGCTCCGATTAGAAAGTAGGAAAATGATTTTTGGAAAATGTTTTTTAGAAAATGACTCATTTTCTAAAAAAATATTTTCCGTTCTAGTGTTTGGCTACACAACGGAAAACTGTCATTGTATGTTTGGTTCATTTTTCAGAAAATGAGTAGGAAAATGAAAATAATTGAATACTTCAAAATTTTAATTGTTTGATACTTTTGATAAAATCCTTTGTGAATATCACTCTTTTGATATATATATATATATATATATATATATATATATATATATATATATATATATATATATATATATATATATAAACATTTTAAAAAATGTAACTTTTTAAAAAAATTTTAGTTACGAAAAAATTAATATTATTTGTAGATTTTACTTATTTTTTGAACTTTGAATTCAAAAAATAAATAAAAAAAATTGAGTATCGATCCGCTAACCGCATGGGGCGGGCTTTGGTTGCATGAAGCTTAGCTTACAACATGGCATGTGCATGAAAATCTTCGTCCCTTTGAAAAAGACATTAAAGTTATTGGTCAAATTAATTGATCTAGTTGAGTTTGATAAAACATATCTTTTTATAGTTTTAATAGTCCCAAAGTAATAAATGACCAATTCGGTTACTCTCCTAGTAGATTGGAACTCGACACTCCTAACACCGATGTTAGCTCCATTTTCTTCGAACATGGCCTCAGTCCTCTTCATGTTATATAGAGTTTGAAAATTAATGACTTATTTTTCTGCAGATTCTAGTATAACCCAAGGTCAGTTCTGAGCATGTCTAACATGTGCAACCGCACAGGACTCCCAATTTTTGGGGGCTTCATATTAAAAAAAAATTATATGTATATATAGTATACATGATTTCAGGTTAAGTGTAGGGAGATTGAGTCAATCTGTGATAGGGTGAAATTGAGCCTAATTGGCAATTACTTTAAAAATTTAAAAAAGTACATATATTTGTGTGTGTGGGTATGTATATATATATATACAACTTTTTTGAACAACTATGATTTATATATAGAAATTATTACTTTAAAAAAAAAACCTCAAATTAAGATATTGTACTGGGTCCTAATTTTTATTGGTACGGAGTTGGTATAACCATACAATCTTTCAACCCCATTTTGGCCGAATTATGATTAGGCCCATACCCCAAGACTCAATCAATAATTAAGATCGACCATGCGATTCTCGAATTCTCCAAGCTAGGATTTGTGTGGTAGAGACATGCTCAATGAAGAAACACGTTTGAAATATGTGTTTGATATATATTTTCATTAAAATAAATTTCATTTGTTATTTTTTCTGAAAATATATTTGAAAATTAGTGTATTTTGTATTTTTCTTTTGATATAAAAGAAGATCAAACTATGATATGGTATTACATCGACTTCACAAAATTGTGGAATGGTATTAATTTGGGGTCAAAGTTTCACCTTTAAACTAACTTTTGTAGTAGAGTTAGACTTTAATTTGACTTTGATTCATGAAAAAGTCTGTCACCGCTACTCAAATGTGTACTCCGGGTGAAACTTTTTTTTTTTTTTTTTAAATTTTTTTACTGAAAAAAATTACAAAGAAGAAATCAGTTTAGATGGTCTATAACTGATGACCATCTCAAACCAAGAAGATCAATAAAGTGTTTCTATAGTCAAACTTGAAATGCAACTGTTGGGCTAATATTGAAGGAGTTAGATATATACTTAGAATTTAACATGAATGTTGTATTATTGGTACTTTCAAATGCAACAACGTGTATATGCTTTTTGATTATTTGAAGATAAGAACCCTTTGTGGTTGTGAGGATTTTGCTAGCTGAATGGGTTAGCTTGTGAATAGGTCGCTGTAGCTAAAGTGTGAGCCTTAGAAGGATAGAAGTCATAAAACAATCGGTAAATGGACACAGTACGTGACAAAGCCCCACTGGATTGTAGGCATTTCTTTTGGGTAAAAGAGTTGGCCTGGAGATTTAATGGCTGCTCCATACTCAAAGCCAATGATCAAACCCTTAACCTTTGATTAAGGATAAATGAGTCCTTTTCACTCAGCCACACCCCCTGATTATCACCTGTGGTACAGTAATGCCAACACATAATCGGAGCTCAACCGTAGGATTCAGTTAAATTGCCGTGTAAGAAAGAACAATTATATCGGTGTACAGTCTAACAGATGTCACCCTGCGATCCATCAACCATAAAAGAACTTCTTTGCATGCTAAAGTTTCCGCCATGAGCGGACACGTGCATCTCGGCAAAGCACAATTAGTAACAGCAATAAAGGTTACAGCCGACGTGAAGAGAATTGCCCCAAATTAAAGGAGGCTTGACTCGTTGACGGGCAGTAGCCAGCATCGAAGTGACAGATGAATTGCCACAAAAGATTTGGGGGACCTTTAATAGCTCAAGTTGTCACACGAGTGAAGTTTGGGAGCAATCTCTTAAGGTGAGGGGGCTCCTTGTGCACAACAAGGTGCAAGCAAAGGTGAGGGGCTCCTTGTGCACAGCAAGGTGCAAGCAAATGGCTAGCCTTTGTATTCAGAGAAGTTACCATGATTTACATTCTCCCAGATGCTCTGTCGGATTGGAGCATGAGGGGGGGTTGAGGATTTAACTTTTTTGGAAACAATTTAATCTTTAGTAGAGAAATTTTATTCATTTATGGTTTTCTTGGGAGAAAAATGTATACATGTGTATTCGGTATTCAATTTATAATTAAGATGAGAACCCCTTTGTGTTGGCAAGATTTGCTGGCCGGGGTGTAAGATACCTGGCAAATCATGCTGTGGACCCGTGTTTATCATGTGCATAGTGGACACACTGTACATTCATAATTTCTATATTATAGATTCATAATTTCTAAATTGTAGATTCATAAAATTTATAATGTAGATTCATAACTTCTATACTGCACATTCATAATTTCTGTACTGTAGATTCATAATTTTTGTACTGTAGATTCATAATTTTTAAAATGTTAGTTATCAAATTATGAACACATA